ATTCATCTGAATTGTGACAGTTTCTTGGACTTTCCATGTTTTGATGACCTTGACAATTTTGAGGACTATTGTTCAGGAATTGTGTAGACTGTTGTTAAACTTAGGGTTTTTTTATGCCCCTGTCATGGCTAGACAAAGGTTATGAGTTTTGGGGAGAAAGATCACAGAGATCATTCTTATTACATCATATCAGTAGTATGTACTATTAACATGACCACCGATTTACAATTCTGTTTTAATGAGTGAATAAGAATTACATATAATTGATAATTTAATGTACCATATGGAGAAAAATCTTTTTGTTGTATGTAATATTCTCTGCAACTTTGATATATGGCATAATCTTAAAATAGGTTTACCTTCCTTTTTCATTTAAGAAGTCCCCTTTACCACTAATAAAAGCAAGTGAAAATTTCCATGTCCTTTTATAAATAACAGTAATCCTACCTTTACAGACTCAGGATCTATATATTAAATTTAACATGAAAAACATAACTGTACTTCTTTCAAATGAAATGCTAATGTGAAAAAATAGTATTCTGTGCTTAACTATGTGATCTAAAGGATGCAACAAACTAAAATCACCCAGAAGTTAAGCATTTTGATACTAATTCCTCTAAAAATGTCTCATGTAAAGGACGTGCCTTAAGAAATGTAAATACTTCACTAAGCCCTGTGCATGTAGAATGTGTCATCTCTGGTCTTATGGAGTCTTTGAAGTAAATGTACATTATCTTCTGGAGTTAGAAAAGACAATAATGTAGCTGTCACAGGGATTAGAAGATCCATGGTTTTGTTTGTTCTATATCATTCTTTTTTTAATTTAATTTTTTTATTAAGGTATCATTGATATTCACTCTTATGAAGGTCTCACAAAAAAAACAATGTGGTTACTACATTCACCCTTATTATCGAGTCCCCCACCCACCCCCATTGCAGTCACTGTCCATCAGGGTGCTAAAGTGCCACAGAGTCCCTATTTGTCTTCTCTGAGCTACACTGTCTTCCCCATGACCTGAACACACCGTGTGCACCAATCATGATACCGCACAATCCCCTTCTCCCTCCCTCACCACCCGCCCTCCCTCACCCCTCTCCTTTGGTAACCACTAGTCCCTTCTTGGAGTCTGTGAGTCTGCCGCTATTTTGTTCCTTTAATTTTGCTTCATGTTATACTCGACAAATGAGGAAAATCATTTGGTACTTGTCTTTCTCTGTCTGACTTATTTCACTGAGCATAATACCCTCTACCTACATCCATGTTGTTGCAAATGGTAGGATTTGTTTCTTTCTTAGGGCTGAATAGTAAGTATTCCATTGTGTATATGTACAATGTCTTCTTTATCCATTCATCTGCTGATGGACACTTAGGTTGCTTCCATATCTTGGCTATTGTAAATAGTGCTGCAATAAACATAGGAGTGCATATGTCTTTTTGAATCTGAGAACTTGTTTTCTTTGGGTAAATTCCTAGGAGTGGAGTTCCTGGGTCAAATGGTATTTCTATTTTTAGTTTTTCAAGGAACCTCCATACTGCTTTCCGCAAGGTTGAACTAGTTTATATTCCCACCAGCAGTGTAGGTGGGTTCTCCTTCTTCTGCATCCTCTCCAGCATTTGTTATTCCTAGTCTTTTCTATGTTGGCCATTCTAACTGGTGTTACGTGTGAGGTGATATCTCATTGTGGTTTTAATTTGCATTTCCCTGATAACTAGTGATGTGGAGCATCTTTTCATGTGCCTGTTGGCCATCTGAATTTCTTCTTTGTAGAAGTGTCTGTTCAGATCCTCTGCCCATTTCATAATAGGGTTATTTGCTTTTAGGGTGTTGAGGCATTCTTTATATATTTTGGATGTTAACCCCTTGTCGGATATGTCATTTACAAATATATTCTCCCATACTGTAGGATGCCTTTTTGTTCTACTGATGGTGTCATTTGCTGTACAGAAGCGTTTTAGCATGATGTAGCCCCAGTTGTTCATTTTTTATTTTACTTCCCTTGCCTGAGGATATGTGCTCAGGAAAAAGTTGCTAATGTTTATATTCAAGAGATTTTTACCTATGTTTTCTTCTAAGAGTTTTATGGTTTTATGATTTACATTCAGGTCTTTGATGCACTTTGAGTTTACTTTTTTGTATGGGGTTAGACAATAATCTAGTTTCATTCTTTTGCATGTAGCTGTTCAGTTTTGTCAGCACCAGTTGTTGAAGAGACTGTCATTTCCCCATTGTATATCCATGGCTCCTTTATCATATATTAATTGACCATATGTGCTTGGGTTTATATCTGGGGTCTCTAGTCTGTTCCATTGGTCTATGGATCTGTTCTTGTGCCAGTACCAAATTGTCTTGATTACTGTGGCTTTGTAGTAGATCTTGAAGTTGGGGAGTGAGATCCCCCCCCCACTTTATTCTTCCTTCTCAGGATTGCTTTGGCTATTTGGGGTCTTTTGTCATTCCCTATGAATTTTAGAGCTATTTGCTCTAGTTCATTGAACTAGTTCATTGAACTGTTGGTATTTTGTTAGGAATTGCATTGAATCTGTATATTGCTTTAGGCAGGATGGCCATTTTGACAATTTATTCTATATCTCTCTTATGAAATTCATAGCAAATAGGGAAGTTGGTTTAGGGTTACTATGATCTATGTTATGTATAATTTTCAAATCAAGACATAAAACAAATATTGTCAATCCAGTGGAACAATTGTTAGAAGTAGGGTATTGCTAGGGGTATCGTAACTTAGATTTAAATGAAATAAACACCCACAGTATCACACTCTGGCTTTAGCATGTGGCCACTCTAAGTTTAAATAAATCTGTATTTATGGTTGTCACTACCCAGAGTTGATCATAAGAACAATTTAGAGGTTTTAGCTGTCATTTGTGACTTTACTATGGCAAATCATAATTCATGGCCAAAAGTACCATTCACATTTCTTTTCAAGAACACTAATTTATTTATTCCACAAACCATCTTGCCCAGGTCATCATATACTACTTGTGCAACCTGTAGAAATTTCATCAACTTCTAAATTTCCTCATTTGCACAAGTTCATGTGATGGTTAAATAAAATTATGTATATAAAACACTGACCAAAAAATACTGACTAAAAAACTGGCCATTGGTTATTTATTTACAGATACATATGCATATGCTTTCAATCATTTCTGGCTTATTGGGGCTTATTAATGAGTAGTTACTTGGCTATCTTTAAGTAATCATTGCATCTTATGCCATATCTTGGTTTTCAGAATTATTTTCTGGCTATACTTGATATTTTAATGTTGATACCTTAGTAGAGAAGTAAAACCAACTAATCAGGAAATGGACCTTTCAGTATTCAAGGGAAATCATGTATAGTGGTGGCAAAACTTAATACTAGAGTAATTTTACTTATTTTTCTCTAGATATGAGAGACTTAACAGAGGTGTGTTTGTGTGTGCATGTGTTTAACATAGTTGATGAACATTCTGCATGACACTGAAGGAGTCTTACTTGATGACCTTAGCAGCTACATAAATGATTACAAGTGTGCAAAGTGTCACACAAAGGAAATAAGATTCACATGAATTGTTTTATACAACAGCCTTCAACAAGAGCCCATTTCTCATCTTACTGACTAATGTTTTTGGTCCTGTGTTTGGGAAAGAAGCCATCACCAGCCTCACATATATTCCCACATCTCCATCTGGATCAAAGGCAGTATCCATGTGAAAAGGCACCCTGGAGCTGCAGTCATCTTTGATAGTACGAGCTAAGGAGAACAAGCATTCATGAGAACAGCACTTTGTTGCAGGCAGACCTCTGTCCTTTATAACCACTGCCCAATCCATTTATCGTGGACTTTGCAGTGTGGCATTAGATAGTGACCATGCTGGCATATGGAATTAGAAAAAGTTCCAAGAGCAGCTGTAGCTGGAGAGACAGCCTGGGAATATTTTGAATCTGAGGTTAAGGACCAGCCAGCTGGGAAAAGAATAAATAGTATTAGAGTAAAAAGGAAATGGGTTTTGTATTAGTATAAGAGTAGAAAGGAAACGTGTTTGCGGTTTGCTATTGGATATGGCAAAGATCACTAACCTCATGACAATTGGCATATTTGGAATGAGAGCTGTGTGTACCCAAGAGAAGCTAGGGTAAGGTCATTTCACTTCAGAGGCTGACCTCCCCAGATCTGGAATCAGACTTGAGAGCCTAAAGGGTGGTTGGGTTCCAGTGCTTCTTTCATGATCACCAAACTCTTGAAAAGGTGATGTAATATTAACATGCGTGACCGTCTGAATCTCTTGCAAAGAGTGGCCATTGATGTTTAAATACTGTGCCACAACCTCCCTGTACACAGCCTGGAGCAGACCACACCTTTAATAAATATGCCAGGCCAAAATTCCTCTTATTTGTATACTGATGACTTTTGTACCTTGTATTGAATATGCAACTCTGTGTAAATAGGGCAGTGATTTTATTAAACTGTTAATCTGGACAAAGCAATATACCATCAGTTTCTTTTTTCGCACAAGCATATACAAAAACATCAGTACTTGTTTTTTGAATTAAAGGAAGAAATGCAGGAAGAAAATAAAAGGAGCAAGTAGTAAATGAAAATAAAAATATCTTAAAAACATTTGTCTTGGTTTATTTTTTTAAGTCATCTGTATAGATATCTATATACAAAATACAATATATTGTAAAGATTATTTTACCAAGGTCATATGTTAACAAAAGAAATTTGTAGGTATGTTTGTTTACCCCCAGAAAAAAATTTAGTGTGTGTTTGTGTACATTTACAAGAATCATCTGACTCTTTTATATAAATGCATGAAACTACATGTGGTCATCTATGTAAATTTCCTCGTGAGATGACTGACTCATAGTTGACAAGCAGCTTGTCTAGCTGCCCTTATCATTATTAGCTGAATGTAATTTTAGTGATACATTTCCAAATAGGGAAAGATAATACCACTGTTTTTCCTCTTTGTTCCTATGCTGTTTTGAATGCAGACAGTACCACGGGGACACCAGCAATATCAACGACGGCAACTGTGGAAATTCGCAAAAACAGTGTTATGACAACTGAGATCACCTCAAAAGCAGAAAAAAGCCCCACGTTAGCCACTGGCAATAGTTCCTGTTCTTCCACGGAGACGGAGGAAGAAAAGGCAAAACGGCTTCTTTACTGTTCGCTCTGCAAGGTTGCTGTCAACTCGACCTCACAGCTGGAAGCGCACAACAGTGGTGAGATGCAGCGATTTCTTTTCTGTCTCAACAGCTCTGCAATTATCTTCCTCTGAATAGATTAGGTCTTTTGCAGCAGGGGACAAAGGCGCGGTGGAGAACTGGCAATTATTACATGGAGTTGATTAACTATTAAAAAACAAAAGTGACATGCAAACTGTCACATGGGAGCAAGGGAGAGTGTCAGAGCTCCCATGCCACGTTGTGTATGTGTTTGTGTATGTGTATGTGTGTGTTTTTAAACATTAGGAGATAAAGTAAAATAAAGTTATAAAGCATAAGCTTTGCATTTAGTTGATTTCTAGGTTGCTATGTAATTTGACGTGTTTGTCTCTACATGAAAAATGTTGTACCAATAAAATAGTTGCAAAACTGGTTCTGTAACTCCAGGTGCTTTTGGTTGAAACCTCCCCATTATGATTTTTATGGAAAATAACGTTCTTCGGGCTAAGTCTTTGGCCACTTAAAGTGTTTATTATGATGTACCAATAAAATAGTTGCAAAACTGGTTCTGTAACTCCAGGTGCTTTTGGTTGAAACCTCCCCATTATGATTTTTATGGAAAATAACGTTCTTCGGGCTAAGTCTTTGGCCACTTAAAGTGTTTATTATGGGAAGTTACTGAGTGAGGTATGATCTCAACATATATTTTATTTACTCTTTCTAATAACCTAAAGATGCTATATACTTATTTGATTGAGGCTCAGAGAAGGCATATGACCAATTAAGTGACTGAGCCATGATTCAAACCCAGGTCTTTCTAAGTTAAACACTAACTTTAATATATCATAACAGAAAATACTGATAAGCCAGGGTGAAATACTTCCCCAATATGTTTTTATTCCATCTACCTGTTCTATATCTGTATCTCTATCTATATCTACATATAGAGATATTATGCATACCTACATCTATTCATACATACACACACATATATATTCTCTTTATATTTATGTATAGAAAGAGAAAGAGTATATTTATATATATGTATAGATATATTTAAATATTTAGAAAGAGAAACTGAATAAATTCATTGATCAGCTCAAGATCAGCTTTTCTCTAAAAGACTGGGTTCACTGCCAGGAAGGACTCTGTCAGCAATTACAAGAGAAAAAGAAAAATTTGTGCATCATACCCTGAGATAATATTGCAGCTGTATGTTGACTGAGTCATTGGCTAATCATGATGCTGCACAAGTAATATTCAAGTATTGACTTCAAAACTCTGAGTGAGGAATTGCAGATGGAGAACAATTCCTTCAGCGTGTACGTACCTCCTGTGCACTACACTGGTTGTAGTCAGGAAGAGTTCTTGAGTTCAGGGACTGAGAAACACAGAGAAGCCTGTGGCCCCAAGTCAGAATCTCTACTGTGCAGGTTTGCTTCATGTTTAACTCATGCAAATACATCCTTCCTGGATGCAAGATAATTAGGAGAGCATAAATGTCATTGAAAGCCCATTTATTTCTGAAGAACTCTTGATCATTCCACATAGTGACAGAGAAACACATTCTTTTTGATCAATATAGACAGATAAACCATACCCTTTGAGGCTGTAGTTAATTTATTAAGAATTTGGATGTTCTTCCTGAATTCTTATGAGAAACATTCGATTAAGAAACAAAGAAGAATTAATGATTTGATTATATCACAATAGGTCAACAGTTTTCATATTCCCATTTCTTCCCATATTCTTCAAACCTTCAGCCTCATTATAGGGCTGTGGCCACTTCCCTTCCCTCTAAGCTGCTGCTCAGATTTCTTTATCCCTGTATTTTCCTTCCTGCGTCAGCCATCTTTTCCCAGGATCAGGGCCTAATGCTGGTTTGCGGCTAACCTTAGACATACTAGCCAGCTGTGCCGGACCCAGGGATGGCAAAGGAAGAAGAAAAGAGATACCAGCCAATGTTCCTGGATCCCCACCCTTGTGCACCATCTGTGATCTCCAGACTCGGCTGTTACTTGTAGCTGCAGGGGTGCAGGGCTGCCAGGGTGTCTGGGATTCCTCTCAAGAGCAGTGAAGGTGAAGGCCACCCTTCCTTTGAGTGAGGAGCCAAAGAACCTCCATGTGCCCACCGGCCTCCCACATCTTTTCCCTTAGGTCAGATATGGGAACCCCATGCAGTGACTGTAAAGGAGAGAGTCTGTTGGGAACCGGGAGAGGAGTGTGCGGTTCTCACAGGTTTAGTGTGGTGTGTCTCAGTTTGGGTCCCATCAGATGCAGACTCTGAGACTCTATTTGGCGGCAAGTAGATTTTAGGGAAGGCAAATGAAGCAGGCTAGGGGGTGGGCAAAGGACCAGGGAGGGAGGACAGTCTGCACAGGTGCATCCTCTGGGTAGTTACCACTGTGGCCCGTGGGGCTCACTGAGCAAAACTTACACTGCGTGGCTCACACACTGGTTCACTGTTTTAAACATAAGAACTTCAAGTGGTCATGGAGAATAACAGAACTGAATCAATTCCAGTTCTGTTTCTTCATCTTCATCAGTCACTGTGCTATTGTTCTTTATTGAAATCTACTATTTACATTAAAAAATACGTAATGCCCCAGTGGTTGAGTGCATTAACTGTAGCCTCTGTGAGCTCAAAGGATTTCAAACTGTCATGGACTTACTAAGGGAACGAAAGCTCAAAGCTGGATCTGTGCCGAGCTGACTGTATAATGGAGAGTTCTACAAATTCATTTCTATGCAACATATGATGTTTATTATAGGACCAGTAATAAAATGCACTAATTTAATATATACTGAATCTCAACAGTAAACACATCAATTATTTAGAATACAGACCAACAAAATATTTTGTAGGGAGTGATCCTTTATCACTGGCATCATTTACAGTCGCCATTCACGGTGCTAATGGAAAGTAGACTGCCTTTTTGAAGTCCGTTTAATTATTATTCTCTAATTCTCTTCAACGCACCCCTTTATTACCTGCACCCAGAGCAGTTCACAATCATCACCCTGCCCTTAGTACTGCTCTGCCCCTCCAACAGAGTTTTAAGACTTTTCTGCTTTCCTCTAGAGCCAGATTTTAGGAAACCAATGTTGGATTAGAAACCAGGTTTGAACACCAGTTTTAAACAGTTGCAACTAGGTTGTTTGTCCTTTGCATGTAGATTATTACTCTAAGTGTTTTTCTTTAGAAACATTATGTGCACAACATAAGGCCTGTAGCACTAAGTGTAGAGCCATGCATTTAGCTCATGGGAAGTCAACGACCTTTCCAAACATGTTTTTCTTGTAATCTTGGAAAATCTGTTTTTAATCACAAACAAAGTTGCACCAACCATTGCCGCTGGTATGATCCAATGGAATGGATTAGAAGTACTCAGACTGCTACCTGAGATCTGCAGATAATTTTTCTATGTGCAAGTCAGTTGCCCTCTTTGGAGATCACTCTCTCAGTTATAGGTCATATGGCACCTTGTAAGGATGAAATACTACAGCATAATTATTAGTAGAACTATAGACCAATTGTGTTATTTCATTTTCATTCTCTTTTTATTTTTCACTATTATGTAACCATTCATAGTTGCCATTAATTGACTTATATTCTATAACATTAGAATACAGGATTTGAACAAGGCATTCTTGCTTTGCCTTTTTTAGAATTTAGGAAGAGAAATCACTCTCTTATGCTTACTCATATGATTCACAAAAAAAGTCTAAAAATGCTTAATACACCGTAAGAAGACATACTCTTTTCAAGAAATCTGGAAGCCCCCTTTGACTTGTATGTTACGGACACAGATATTACAAAAGATGTGTTTTATATTTTTCTCTAAAGAAATTCCGCTAGGAATTAAATAATGCTTTGCCTAGCTAATTTTGATGTTTGTCTCTATGTAATTTAAACTTTGATATGTTTTATACTTAATGTTCATTACTAATTCAGGCAGATTTTTCTGGTAATGATTTGAAGTGGTAACATTTGATAATTTCACTAAGCTCATTCCAGCTTTTCTATCCCTAGACAGAGTCTATTCTATCCCTCATTGTTTTAATATATAGAAAAGATAGTTATCACAGAATGGGCCTGACTAAATCTTAAAATGCTTAGAGATTTCTAAGTTTTTGCCTGAACAAAACAACAATGCTAAGCAAGAAAAAGAGGACAATATTGACTGCAGTTCATTAAACATGTGGAGGTGAAAAAATAACCCTTAAAATAATCAATACATTTAATACAACACTTCAATAGAGATCATTTCCTTTTCCATAGCCAAGGATACTGAGGAATGAATAAATCTAAACTCCACAGCTAATGGGGCAATTTCTGACATATACCATTCATTCTAGAGTCTGAGCTCACAACTCTCCTTACAAACCACTTGTTTGGCGATCTTTGATAATAACTAACACTTCAGCTAATCGTCACTGATCATCTACTCTGTGTTGGGCATGGAGAATATAATCTGAGCAAAACCCCAGGAGTTGCCTTCAAGAAGCTTTTGTCTAGTCTGTTCAGGAACAGAATTTCTTGTTTTATCAAGAAATCTGTCATTTCTTGTTTCATGTGAGAAACTCGTTTAAGCCTGTCAGCTATGGGCAGTGTTCATGGCCTTATTAAGGCCCAGAGAGCATCTGCCGCCCCTGTTTGGCATCTCCTAGGGTAATGGTAAGACTCCCAATCATGAAAGACACCAACCAAAGAGAATCAAGAGACCCACAAGAAAGTCGGGGAGATTTAGTGTCCCTCTGACTTCTTAGGCATTTATAAACCAAAATGGCCCTAGGCATAATGCTTCTCTCAGTTCAACTGAAGAAGCCGCATGGAAAAAAAACGTTTTAAGAATATCACCTGTTGGATAAAGAAGGTTGGGCAGCCATCTACACACACACACACACACACACACACACACACACACACACACACAGTGAGAGAAACCTTGTGTAAGATATTTCTTGCTCCCTATAGCATTGTTTTGCCCTGCTCTCACTTATGCCATCTTCATACAAAGTAGAAAGTTTGTGTCGCTGCGCTGCGAGGGCATTGACTTTTTTCTTTCCTCGGTACTTTGAAATATGAACATTTGAATAGTTACGCATAAGAATCTTATATGCAAAGTGGGGAATCCGAGTTGTCAAAGTACACATTTTTTATATTGAACTCAGTAAAGTCATAATCACTTTGAAAGAGAGATTTAAACATGTTTCATGCATTTACTGCCTCTTACGCAAGCTGATGGTGATTGGTGCTGACTTTAATGGGCTGCTCTGCGTATTTCTGTCCTTAGCATTCAGTGGCTCTGGGAGGCTGCTGCAAGAATCAAAACTAAAGAATCTTTTTTTAATGCTTGCAGAACTGATAACAATCTAATAAATACAATTAGGAAGGGGAAATCACTGACAAAGGATTTTAAAAATCAGAATGGCAGGAAGGACATAAATGATTACAAGAGAAAATTTCATAGCATAAACATGACTAGGTGAAAAAAATAAATGATACATCTCACTCTAATAAGAAAATTGTTGGCAAAACTTTGGGAGTAGACTCCTAATAGGAACTTCGGTGGTTTTTAAAAAACAAATGTTGATAAGGAGTTACATTAGTTATGTGCAACAGCCCAAAGGTGTTATTGGTTTATTTAAAAGAACCATTTCTTTCAGTGAGTCTGCTTAGCCTGCAATCCCATCCTTCATGTGCTCGGTCATGTTTACATTTGAAATGACATAGCCAATCCCTGTGGGTTTTACTATCCTAAAACAGCTTTTTTTCAGTCATTAGATTCTCTTCCTCTTTGAACCTAAAACACATAGCTGGGAAAGCTTGTTTGTATTCTATTTAGAAAGTAGGTATTTAATTAGTGCCACTTCTGTAAACACACCATGTTTAAACTGATTACATTTGTTACACATCACTTCCAACTATACCTTTAGCAACTAAATCACTCTTACTCATCAGCCATCATTTATGTCTTATTAACATCAAGAGGAAATGAAACAAAGTAGCACCCATTTAGTTTTGTCTCAGGACTCTCAAGTTTAGGTACTATACTGATTTTTTGCAGCATAGGGAATCATAAAACAATGAATGATTAAATAACATGTAAGGTGGTCAGAGCACATAGTTACAGTCTTTTGTGTTGTAGGCTTATTTCAGCCATAATCCCTGGGAGATCTGCACTAAATCTAGGCATCACGTTTTTGTTATTGTAGTGTTTCTTGAAGGCATATATAGCTAAAGGTTTTTTTCCTTCTCTTTTTTTTCCTCAATATTCCTGGCAGGTACTAAGCACAAAACCATGCTAGAAGCTCGGAATGGAAGCGGGACTATCAAAGCCTTTCCTAGGGCAGGTGTGAAAGGCAAAGGACCAGTTAACAAGGGAAATACAGGCCTGCAAAACAAAACGTTTCACTGTGAAATCTGTGATGTGCACGTCAACTCGGAAACACAGCTTAAACAGGTAGGCGGCACATGTTTTAGAAATGAGAACAGGAGACACCCTTAGGGTGCTTCCTTTGTCCCCTTCTTTTCTGTTCTTGGCTCCTGTCCATCCATCCATCCACCCACCCACCCACCCACCCATCCATCCACGTATCTCCTACTCACTGTCCTTTATGCTTATTTTAGTTGCCAAGGGAATACTAACACATAACACCTTCTAAGACTTTTCAGGAATTGACTGAAGTGACTTTGTACGATCTTACAGATGCAGAGTAGGAGGAAAAAGCGGTTTTAGATATTTTCGCTACCAGGTTTCCTACTCAAGAGCATTAATTTTCTTTAAAGGTCAAATTGCAGCATTCCATTTTTATTTGTTTAGACATTTACATGCTACTCCTAATTCTATGTTGTGCTATTCTTTTATTTTATATGCTTTATTACACGGTTTTATACTGTATTTCTAACTCCTTCAGCCACCTGCTAAAGGGATGACTAATCCTGTTGTATTTACTTTTACTCTGAATAGCCTTCAGAAGAGATTGCTTATAGATTGCTAATTGAAGGCCCAACCTTCTACCGTGTGTTTTACATGCATATGTATAATATCTCATGGTTTTATGAACCTTAGTTATTTATTCTTGAGAATTTAAGGAATTGACATTTGACTATACAAATATGAGGGTAACTTTTAGTATGGAAATAAATTCATGAAGGCGTGGGCATCTTTGTTTATTTGCACATAAAGCTCCTTCAGACATTCCTTTCCTTTGTAAACTTCTAAAAAAAGGAGGTCTGTACAGTGGTAAGGAGAAAGTCTGGGAAAAGAAGATCCTTCTATTTGTTAAAAATATACCAAAATGGACAACATAAAAATAGATGTTCCCCCAGGCATCAGAACCCAGGCATGTTCTGTGATTTTTGTCTTTCTGCAACTTGTATGAAATGACTATACCCTTCCCCAAAGCAGTATGTACGCGGGTTGTTTTTTGTTTTGGTTTAGTTTTCTTTTGGATGATTTTTTTTAAAGATATTACTTTTAATTGCCTTTAATAGCACATTAGCAGTAGAAGGCACAAAGACAGAGCTGCCGGGAAGCCCCCGAAACCTAAATACAGCCCCTACAACAAGCTTCAGAAGGCAGCCCATCCACTGGGGGTAAGTGTCATCTTTGCTTCCCAAAAGACGGAAGTCAATGTCCCACCATCCATTGCATGTGGGTTTTGCGGGGGCAGTGGGTAGGGGCAGTTACTAAATGAAATCAGTGGAGGTACCTACGTAATGACAAACAACTGATTGGGAAGTCCAACATTTACTCTGCCAGTAGAATTACTGGGTTCAGGAGTTGTTTGGCTGTTTCACCACCGTCCAGTATCTTACTTTTCTGAGTTGGGCTCGGGTTTACAACAGAGCATGGGGAAGGGAGGAATACCAAAAGCTCCTTTGAGTCAGGTGGGTGATCACATGACATCTGGTCCCAAAGTTAGAAGATCATTTCAGGAAGGGTCAGTGAAAAACGCATTCTTGAATCTCCTTTTAGTACCTTCACGAGATGAGGCATTGGTATCGTTGATACCCTCAACAGTTTTGAATTTTGAAAAACACAGTGTCAATGACATGGCTTATTATGTAATTTTTCACCCCAGGACTTAGGCCTGGGGAAATACTTCCTGGGGGTTGTCCTCTTCCTATCACCCCAAATGTGCCTTTTAGACTAGTAAACATACTGCTGTCTTGACCTGCAATTTTTGTGGGATTTTAGGGGGGAATCTGTGACCCTCCAGATGCTCCAGACACATATTGATGAGCATGTGCTTTTTGTTCTGGTTGAAGTGACCAGAGCTTCCCACAGAGAGACCCAAGGTTGAAGGGAAAGTTAAGAACCCCTATCTGCAGAAGTGCTGAACTTTGAAATCTGTTGTCTTCAAAATAGATCTTATTAGTAATCGGTGCTGTTGTGTGCTTGCTGACGCAAGAAAATGTAGTTAAAGGAAAACTGCGATCATCTATTAGGAGACCTCAATACGAGTTGACCCAATTAATTTAGTAGTATCACCCACTTTTATGCAAATGAAGTTAATTTACTCTTTTGTACAGAAACATTTTTAGTTGCATTGAAACCTGCGTGTTCTGCACAGAGCTGGTGTCTTGACACAGCCCATCGTACCCTGAAGAGCTTATGTCTGACTTTCCACAACCAAGTGAATGGTTCTTACATAAACAGAGAAGTCATATTGTGTTAATGTTGACATCCAAAACCTTCTTAACTATCACTATTAACTGTTTCCAAAAACGGGAGCATTCTCTCCATGAGAACAGCCATCTTACCAAGGTGGCCAGCCACAGAACGAACTGGCTTTGTACATTAGGATCGAGGAGGGTATTGTTACCACTTGCACAAAGAGAAAAATACATCAAATTTGGGGGGAGATTAAGTTTCCCTTATTCTTTACTGATAATGGAAATTTCCTTTTTCTATTTCTCTTGATTAATACCTCCCACCGTGCTGTGCTTCTCAGTGTATGCACTTGGGTAGTCTGATAACAGCTGACAGCATTAATAAGTCACTTAAAAAATTCTATTCTGTGATGGGTGTGTAAATAATGGAGTAAAAATTGCTCATTTTTTTCTCAAGGTGAATGAATACTCTTCTCAGGAAGTGTATTTATCAAGAAAAATAAAATACAGTAAGGTTGCCACATCCTTTTCTGGAGGACTTTTAAGCATCCTAGACCAACCGTTTTCAGGGTTCTTCCAGCGCCCCCAAAGGAGAGATGTCTACCCTCGCCATGATTTTTATTGTCAGCTCACACGTGTGAGCTTATCTTTGCTATTCTTCACTGCTCTATTTTAAAATGCTAAGTGTAGCCTCCAAAACCTTGTGCTCTCCCTTGCAGGTGAAATTAGTTTTTTCGAAGGAACCTTCAAAGCCATTGGCGCCGCGCATCCTGCCGAGCCCGCTGGCCGCGGCGGCCGCCGCCGCCGCCGCCGTGGCCGTGAACTCGCCGTTCAGCCTGCGCGCTGCGCCGACCACGCTGTTCCAGACCTCCGCGCTCCCGCCCGCGCTCCTGCGCCCGGCCCCGGGGCCCATTAGGACCGCCCACACTCCTGTGCTGTTCGCTCCCTACTGAATTCCACGTCGGAGCAACCGTACTGCAATAATTTTTCAAAAAAGAAAAAACAAAAAAACACAGAATTCAGCAAAAGAGAACTATGCAGTGTTTTATTTATGAAGTATATCCGAAGAGTCAGGACTTTTGATAGTGAATTGAAAAGATTATTAAAAAAAAAAAAAGGAGGGAGGTTAGGGGATGGGCGGGGGAGGGGTGGTATTTTCTCCAAATTCCAACATTCCTCTCGAGCGTTGATTGTTTTAGAAGTGATCTCCAGCATCGACTTGTAGCGGCACCTAGAACTTCTGGCGCCTTCGTGACTGTGCTTCTGGGCACCTGTTTCCCCTTCCATTCTCTTTCCTGCTTTATGAAACAACATTGTCTAAGGGCATTAACTGGTTCCGATGTACATACGATAATTTACTCTGTAGATTAAAATCATGCGAAAAAAACAAAAAACAAAAAAAGCAAAGCAACACTGTGAATAGCAGTACCCGTGCTGGTCCTCTTCCTGTGACAACAGTTACTGGGTATTTATTTATCCCAACAAAAGTAGATACAGTAGACGTCTTGTTCAATTATAGTGCTGTGTCTCAAATGGGCGGGGGAGGGGTGGTATTTTCTCCAAATTCCAACATTCCTCTCGAGCGTTGATTGTTTTAGAAGTGATCTCCAGCATCGACTTGTAGCGGCACCTAGAACTTCTGGCGCCTTCGTGACTGTGCTTCTGGGCACCTGTTTCCCCTTCCATTCTCTTTCCTGCTTTATGAAACAACATTGTCTAAGGGCATTAACTGGTTCCGATGTACATACGATAATTTACTCTGTAGATTAAAATCATGCGAAAAAAACAAAAAAAGCAAAGCAACACTGTGAATAGCAGTACCCGTGCTGGTCCTCTTCCTGTGACAACAGTTACTGGGTATTTATTTATCCCAACAAAAGTAGATACAGTAGACGTCTTGTTCAATTATAGTGCTGTGTCTCAATCTATGCCACTAGGTTTTAAAGAATGGCAAAAGGTAGAATGAACAACTATTTCATGCCAAGAAGCAGGCAAAAACTAAACTCATACCCAGTGGTTTTGTGGAGGTCCCCGTAGTTAGTGCACATTCCCCTCCTCCTGCCCTGCTTGGAGATGACTTTCAGTTGAGAACAGTAGAACAAGGCTAAGCACAGAGGTGGCAGAGTATGAATAAAGGCGGTTTTTTTTACACAGTGCTATTTTCCCACCCTGAAGCAGTGTTGCTGGAAAGAGTGAAGTGTTTGTAATGAAACTGCATCTGTAAACTGGTAAACCCATGCATCATGGGTGTTTAGGAAGAAATCATTACAACTGTTCTGTTTCATGGATAAGGGACGATCATTACCTAGGATGATAATGCAAAGTAAGGATTTTTTCAACTTAGTACATATCCGTTAAAAACAGAATATTGCATCTCTGCAATATCCACTTTGTATCATACCAGTAGGGCTGTCTCTTAGGCAAAGATTTCTGCTTTGAATATGATGATAGACATTAGCTATTGTGGATTTTTTTGTTGTTTTCTACATCTCCTACTGACATGATATAAACAATTAATATATACTTAAATGTTAGTAAAACAAGAAAGACAAATCTGAGTTAGTTGCAGACCAAGGATGTAGTGTTAAAAAAAAATACTGGTAAGATGCATTCAACCATCACTTCTCTAGTGGAGTTGTAAAATATTGACAGCCTTCGATATTCACCAGTAGGCTGGAAGGAGTTGATGTTTTACCTTTAAAACAAGATTTATCAGGGGTATATATAAATATATGTATATTGTATATATGTTAGAAAGATTAAGAGAATAACTTATAAAAAGAAAATCTATATAAATAATTATATAACCATCCCGTGTTACATGTTATCATTAAATTGGTAACAAACGGCATAAAAATAGCTGTGCCTTTAATTTGTGATAAAGGCTCTCTGCTTTTTCCCATAGAAAGCTAACAGTACCTATCACTATGATGGGGTTCAATGCAGCCAGTCTGTTGCTTTAATAAGAACAACGACACTCAAACTTAGAACAAGGACAAAACATGTACAAATCAACCCTACATGATTTAGGTTTAGAGAAAAAAGTATTTTTTGAAAAGGTTTTGTAAAGACTATTTAAAAATACAGGGAAGGGCTGGAGATGGCCTTCCTGAAACTGATCTTACCTAAACTGTTGTAACATTTTGAGAGGTATAAAGATTTAAGATGAAACCATTTGAGAGATAGGTATTTATCATCTGTCATTTTATATTTAAGAAACACCCACAGCGTGCTTGGTGCTCAACTTTAAACATGGTCTTTGGAATTCTTCGCCACCATCTAGCTCTAGACGTTTGTCATATAAACTTATCTTTAAAGCAGTTGGCTTTATATATCTTTTGTTAAACAAACCACCAAAAGAAAACAGAAATAAAAATAAGAAAGTAAAAAAGGGAGGAAGCAGGCAGAAGGAAAAAGTATTCCATCGGTATTTGGTAAAAAGAATTTCAAACCATACATCTCCAGTTAAACATGTTGGTCAGCATTAAATTTGTTTGGGGGAGCATTTGATGAGTTTTGCATTTGCCACAATCTCTACCACCTGGTGTTAGCAAATGTTTCTTTTTGTCACCCACAGACGCTGCTAGTTCAGTCAGCTGGAGAGTTGCTCATGTGCTGATTGTTCAGTGGGTTGCATGTGTCCCGTGTGACAAGCTTCTGACTGTGTTGAACTTGAGCTTCCTTTTTCTGCTTTGTCAAATATTTTGATCTTTCACTATAAGTTAGCCTGACAACCTTTATCCAACAACCTTTACACATGAGAAAACCTCTCTTTCTGTTGGAGAACTTGGTGTTAATTGATGAATCTCACTACAATGTGCTTTCACTGTTCTTCCCCATTTTCACCAAAGTGAATGAGCCAGTCCACAGTCAGGGCCTGTGGGACACAAGAGTCCTGAATCACAAGGCATTACTAACTAATGATTTGCTGGGAACAAACAAATCAGCCATATTTTCTCCATCAGCCATATGAGAAAACTCAGAAATACCTAAATCCCTTCTGCCTCACTTCGCTATGGAACCATTTTTGTTTAAATGGTCTCTCAAATTGGAGTTGTGGTCATCAGTTGTCTTTTACTCACTACCTAATAAAGGATGAAGCCTAACCACAGAACTTAGAGTGGATTCTCTGTGATTGTTTACCCTCACTCCACATATTTATCAACATCAGATCCACATCTATTGTAGTTTAGACTGCTATATCCTTTCCTTGGGGAACTTTTTTCATGAATAAAGATCAATAATTCAGATTGGTCAGCAGTGGTGCTCTGAAAATCCCTCAGGGAGGTCTGACTTTATGGTTATATATCCCTTCCCATGCATCACACCCATGGCAAGGATGTGATAGAGAAAGCATCTCTGATTTCAATTGAAACAAATATAAATGCATTGCAAGAGCCAAATGCCTCTGGAAAAAGCATGGTTGTACTTCATCCACATCATCCAGACAAACGGGAAACAGTCATTGGGGAAGTACTCTATTTCTCTTCTGAGAAAACAGGTGATTATACATGAGAAATTGCTCTTCTCACTGGGCCTAAGCTTTGAAGAGTGGTGGCTCTGTTCATATAAGCAAACACGCAGGTGGTTCTTGGCAGTTTTTATCATCATTACCTCATCTGAAAGAATTACAATCTTACCATTGGGTTTCCCCTCATTTATTGCAATAATTCACTGCCATTATCATCAGAGATATGATTTGGTTTTTTTTGAAGGTGCTACATATTTTTCTGCCAAGGAACTGTTTAGCCAAGAGAGTGTTTATACCCATTTGGAAATTAGAAGAGAGCTGGAAATAATGAAACAAAGGATTAAAAGTTAAAAGACAAAGAAGTTTTAAGAAATAAAATTACTCAGAGTTTATTTTGGCTGTACCCATGTAAGTTTCTAAAGCACAGAACCAATACATGGTAGATAGAGCCATTATGTTTCCCTTATGATTACATTTTAAATTAATATTGTTGTTTCTATACCCACACCACATAATGTTTCAACTTTCCTAAAGAAATCAGATCACAAAGCAAAAAGATGACTCAGTATGTCTAGAGATTCCTTCCTTTAAATTTGATTTCGTTTATAGTACTACCTTTCTGTACATGGGTGACACTGTATTAATAACTACTCGTATGCAGGATAGCATCATGAAGTGTTCAAAGACAGAAGTCCATTGTAGACTCTCACCAGCAGAGTAACAATTAAATAGTCAATTACTGTGTTGTCCTTAATTTTTTCATCTGTAATAATGTGTGAGGGTGAATAAAAGCTGAGCTGGTTTACTATTCCTGCATTAAAGGATTACTTCTCCTATCTTCTTAGGAATAAAACTGCTTTCTTATAGCAAACCACACAAGCCACTCACATAGTTGCATGTGTGCAGAAAAGTGCTCAGTATTTCTGACCACCCTGAGTATACACCACACAGTAGGTCATTCATCCAGTCAATCAGAAAGTAGACTTCACCAACTATTATCAGTGGAGTTGCCAATTCACATTGGACTGAAAGTCATGAAGGACATAACTGCATCTCTTATCTCAGTCTATAATAAATTCTGAGCAAAACCAAACCCAGTAAAAGCAATAGAAAGTTGGCAGTGCAGGAGTGGAAGATAGCAACAGATATTTAAAATATCTCGTCCTTATTCCTTTTGTTGTACTTTCTCCCTTCACTAATGCTGTCCTCGGTTTGCACGTAGTTTAGCTAACGGCATACTTATTTAGACCACTGCCTCCATAGCCAAAGGATATCACTTATGCCCTCTTGTCATTGTTAGTGCAAGAATTGTTTGAACAAAATCATGACAGTGAATGTTTTACATACTGGTTGCTGTTGGTGTTCATTAAAAAGGAGGGTTTGTTTCTGGGGCATCTTTTCTTTCTATGATTTGCTTCAATAACTACGAAGGCTACTATCAGAAAGTGAAATGAATCATTTATATGGCAAGTCTCCATGGCCTACTTAGCAGCTCTAAGAGTGTCATCATGACTTCCAGTGAAAGGTGGATATGTAGATATATCATCCTCAGGCAGCCCACAAGGCTTTTACTTCCAGGAATGAATTTATAGCTTATCCAAATTATGAATGGTGATAGAAGGCAGGTTCTGCACAGGAAAACCCTGGTATGTGCACCTTGATTAGAAGTCTGTGCAGGTTATAAAGGGTCACAGAATCTGAAGAATTCCCTTGCTGGTCATCAATGCTCAGGTGTGGAAGGACCAAGAATTACCTTCAGTCTGAGCATCTTCTCTTCCCTCTTCTCAGTTTTGAGAAGGCTTCCTTCTTTAGATGGTCAAGTTGACTCTAGAAATGGCCAAAATACATTTAAAAAATTTTTTTTATTAAAGTATGATTGATATACACTCTTCTGAAGGTTTCACATGAAAAAACAATGTGGTTACTACATTTACCCATATTATCAAGTCTCCACCCACACCCCAATGCAGTCACTGTTCATCAGTGCAGCAAGTTGCCAGAGATCCACTATGTACCTTCTCTGTGATACACTGTTCTCCCATGACCCCCCACACC